ATGTCTGCATCCAATTCCCAATGCAATGTGTTCTTTGATCTTCCTCTTCTCTGTTTCCTTTCACGATTCTAAGATAGTGCTTGCTTCGTGATGCAGTTTGATGATTTCTCCAATGTGTGTTCTATCCACTTCCATCGTGTTTTCCTAATTTCCTCTTCAGATGGAAGCTGGTTTGTCCTCTTCCATAGTAGGTTGTTGTTGATGGTACCGGACCAAAGGAAATTAATTTTCTTACGTAGACAATTGTTTAGAAATACTTGTAGTAGTTCTCCAAATTTCAGCTCCGTACAATAGAACTGTTTTGATGGTCATAGTGAAGATTCTCACCTTGATATTGGTTGATGGTTGTTTTGAGTTCCATATGTTCTCCAACTGTAGAAGTGCTACCCCTATTTGCCATTCCTTGCTTTTACGTCTAAATGGGATCCTCCTTGCTCATTGATCATGCTCCCCAGATACAAGAAAGATTCCACATCTTCCAGAATTTCTCCATCAAATTTGATTAGGTCGGTATTCTCTGTGTTGTATTTGGGGATTTTTCATTTTCCTTTGTGTTTGTTGAGAAATACCGCTGCAGAGGCTGCTGCTACACTAGTTGTCTTCAACTGCATTTGTTCGTGTGTATGGGGCAGAAGGACCAGGCCATCTGAGACGATCAAATTGTCTAGTTGTATCCAACCTGTATTCTGTGCTTCCCATCAGATGTCGAGGTTTTCATAATCCGGTCGACCACCATTATTAGCTGCATACGGCTTGAAGTCACAATTATTATTACGGTTATATAAAAATATTTGAAACAATTATTTTCATTAAATATATATGTGATCACTTGTATTCACTTTATGTCCACCATTAAAAGATACCTGCGAATCACAAACTCGTTGTTCATGCTCTGTTGAAATTTATCGGAGGATCTTACCTTCTTACTTACTTACTTACTTACGCCTGTTACTCCTCGTGGAGGAGCATAGGCCACCCATCAGCACTCTCCATCCAACCCTATCCTGAACAATCCCTTCAAGTTCTTTCCAGTCGTTATTCATGTTACGCTGGATGTTAATAGGTGCATCGGTTTTGCGACTTCTGAAGGAACACGACCTTCGACGCGAGACGTCATAGTTCTTCTAAATGAAGACCTTCTAACTCCCATGGCAGGGTTTAAATGGTCTGAATTATATTCTCTGGTTAGAGTTTTTTAGCAAGTTAGTTTTCCATGGGATGGGTTAGCTAATGCTATACCCAACCCTTCTCTATGACCCATGCTTAGGACCAGCAGTAACTCTGGAAGAGCTACGGTTGGAGTTATCAAAGGATCTGGTTATTTGAAAATAGTTCCGTTTAAAAATAGGGCAACCATTACAAAATCACCCAGTTGTTAACATTTCTGATTGATTCACTCAGTAATATGAGTTCAGATTTCATATGGATCATCATTCACCCTCAGAAAACAAAAATTTCCTCTTGACGGATATACACTGTCATGAAATCTAGGAAGCTTGAAATTTCTAACTTTAATCATCGTATACCTCCCGGTGATCACAATATGACCTGATCAGAAGAATTCCATTGGTCGTAAGGACTACAATATGACACTATACAACATTAAACGACCAGTTAATATCTGATAATATATTTTTCAAATTAAATAAAATTCCCTGTTACGTCCAAGTTTTGCTCGTTCCAGTTATTGAAGTACGGACTATCGATCTACTCGCAAAATACGAACCCAAATTAACAACAGAACCAAGTCCCAATTTAGATATCAAGTTTATTCGTAATTCACAAGTAATCGACCAAATGTCGTCCTAACAACAATAATTATAACAATTACAAAACAAACCTTCAATTTTGTAGGTTCCCGGAGCAAAACTCCCAAATACCAAACCAAAGACAAAGAGAGCACCAAATACCAAACCAAAGACAAACCAAAATGTCCGAAATAATGATATAAACAAACAAGTTCAAAAGTTAAGTAAAACAATTACATCCAAAAAACACAGTAAATTATTAATGTACAATAAAAGGTTTTAATCCGTCAAAAGTCTTCAGTTCTCCCGTAACACTCCCGACCAAAAGAACCTTGGTTCTTTTCACAGACAAATAAATAAACAACAAGAATCCAAGTATATGCATCAGAAACAATCAACAACAAACACTCACTATACCAACAATCTCGTGATCCCTAGGACTTACACCAGTACGCCTAGGGATCCGAGTAGCTACCTAATATCTACAACTTCTAGACGCAGTTTTCTAATATTTCTTACCAAGATCCCTACGCTTGTCCGCAACTCCATCGGTCTTAACCTATCACTATTAGGTATCACTTTCCTTACCAGACCTAATAACCATCTGTCTTTCTCTAAAAACCCAGTACATGTCTCCACCAAGTTACTCTCTCCTATGTTCATCTCTGGTTGAGTCCATTTGTGTCTAAGTTGCAATAATGAAACATATTCCTTAGACAAACGTTTCCAAAATATTTCCGCCAACTTAAACAATCGCAATATCAACCATCTAACAAAACGCTTCATCCTCCATAGAAGCTCATATACGCTAACGTAAATATGGATATATAAACACATATAGAGGACCAATCCATTAATTCCTTTATTTACTGCGAACTCTCTATTCTGATTCCAAATCGTAACATTGGACCTTTCTAGTTCTTTTAGAAAATGAATAACCATAACACATGGCTTCAGGCACCATTGCATATTCACACACAAACAACTATTTGAGTCCGCAGAACATAAAGCCCATCTTCCAATCATCATTGGATTTAACGTTCGTAACGGTGAATTCGTTATCTTCACCTTGCTAATGGTATCAAACGATAACATTTCAATCTCTTTCCGAAATACTATGCGTAGGACATATAGAATTAAATCTAAACAAGCGAAATTTAACCCATCAAATCTAAGCATACCCACCTGTTGAGACAGATCAGTTCTACCAGAACGCATTACCAGTAAATATCGCTTAAATCGGGTTAACCACGCAGCAGCCTTAAGTAATCTAGTCCAATCTGAATAATAATTAATAAGATGATCAACAGTGGATTTTTCAGCCATTACATGCGCCGACATTGCTTTCTTTATTTCCAATAGATGAGGGTCAGGACCTTGTACATCAGCGGCAGGCCAACACTCTTTGGCTTCTTGAGAAAACGTGGACCCTCCTCCCATACCTTGACATCATCAATGTCAAACTTGACCCCTCTGGATGCAAAGTCTGATATGTTTTCTTTAGAAGGTACGAATCTCGATTGGTCCACCTTAGTAAGACTCTGAATAGTCGAAATTCGATTTGCTATGAATGTTTTAAACTGGCTTTTCTCATTTCTAATATAGTGTAAGACAATCATAGAATCCGTCCAAAAATTAACCTCTGCAAACTTAATATCTAATTCTGACTGCAGGTGGTATCCCATGTGAGCTGTCAAAACTGCTGCCGACAGTTCCAAGCGCGGTATAGTTTGGACCTTCAAGGGGGCTACTCTTGCCTTAGCCATAACAAGACGAGAACATATTTCAGTGTCAAAAATGCAAGAGCGGACGTATGCTACTGCACCATATCCAGTTTCCGATGCATCACTGGAAATGTGAAGTTCCAGGAGCGAACGATCTGATTGAGGAAACAATACACAACGTGGAAAACTAACGTTCTCAACCCTTTTAAATCCACGTAAAATCTCTAACCAACGTTTGCTTTCCTCATTTGGAATCTCTTCGTCCCATCCTAGTTCCAATTTACCTAAACGCTGAAGTAACTGCTTCATGGGAAGTATAAACGGTGCTACCAATCCCAGAGGATCGTAAAGTGAGGCTACACTTGACAATATATCACGCCTAGTGAGGGGGCGTTTCGGTATGCGAACTTTAAAATCAAACGAATCAACCATAGTATTCCAAAATAATCCCAACGTGCGTTCCGTAGGAAGTCCTTCAAAGTCAATCTATCTTACGGCTTCTGCTCTCTCTTCTGGATGAATTGATTCAAGAACTTGTAAACAGTTACTTATCCACTTGTTAAGTCTAAACCCACCTTTTCTGAGGAGAGAACCAAGGGCCTTTGCCAGCTCAATTGCATCCTGTACATTATCAATAGAGGCTAAATAGTCGTCGACATAGAAACTCCTATCTACGACATCCTGGATATCTTCATTGAATTCCTTACCGAATATATCTACCGTCTTCTTAAGAGCGAAATTAGCGCAAAAGGGAGAGGACACGGCTCCAAACGGATGAACTGTTAAACAATATTCCTTAGCCGTTCGTCGTATATCACCGTCTTCCCACCACAATAGACGAAATGCTCCCCTGTCTTGTCTCGGAATCTTTACTTGAAGAAACATCTCTTCGATATCAGCAGCTAATGCTACGTTACCTAATCTGAATCGTAGAAGTACACCAATTAAACTATTTACAGTATTCGGTCCTCTCAAAAGCTGGTCATTAAGAGAATAACCTTGATAGACAGCCGCACAATCAAAAACAATTCTCACTTTTCCAGGCTTTTTAGGGTTAATAACAGGATGATGAGGAATATACCAACAAACAGCATCACAGTCAAATCCCTCTTCACTAGCTTCAATGATGTAGCCCTTACTTAAATGTTTATTCATCACAACTTGATATTTCTCCAAAAGACTTTTATCTTTCATAAACCTCTTCCTTAAGCATTATAATCTGCGTTCAGCCAGTTCCAAATTATTCGGTAGTCTTGGCTTATCATATTTCCATGGTAGACCAACTTGGAAATGACCACCCTCCAATCTAAACGAACTGCTAACTATTTCTAGAGCTTTTTTATCTTCGACAGAATATCCATTACGAAACGTATCTGCATCCTCGAACTCATGATTATATAGTCTTTCTAAATCTCGCAAAATATCATTAGTGGAACAATGACACCACTGAACTTGATGTAGAGACCTTGATACTCCCTAAGAACCTATAATCATCCAACCAAGATGAGTACGCACAGCAAACGGATGCTTCCTGTCCCCCAGACGTTGTTCTAGAACCCAATGTGCATCCGGAGCATCACACCCAATCAATATTCCTACAAAATTACTTTTCAACCTCGGAAGGGTTATATCCTTTAGATGATTACACCGTTTCAGTTGGAGTTCGGTTAAAGGTGTTGCATGATTGATCGGAAGTTTCTTTATCGTGTAAACTTTGTTGATCCTTATAGAACCCCGTTCATCTAATGAAAATACCTCTAAATTTACCTCCAAACAATCATAATTGGTAGTTCCGTTCACAGTCGCCACCCTTATCGAAGTCTCTTTACCTTTGATACCCAACTGATTAATTAATTCTTCACATATAAGTGAAGTGTCCGAACCACTATCTAAAAGTGCATATGTTTCCAAACATCCTTTGGGACCGTATAATCTCACTGGAACGATCCCCAAACAAACCTTTGAGGAGTTCCAATCTTTAGCTAGGTTCACCACATGGTTATCAATACTATCAATATGCAATAATGAGTTATGCCTAACCTTGCAATTCTCAACGTCGCACTTGAAGCCTGAGCTGCATGTCATAGCTATGTGACCTTTCCTCAAAAATAAGTAACATAGACCATGTTTTCTTATCTCCTGCCTCCTTTCTCTTGCATTCATTTTTGCTAACCGTGGACAATCTGTCGCCTCATGGTCACCTACGCAGATTTCACAATGTGTTACTTTGACTGAGTTATTTGGGTCTCGTCTGATTGGATGAAAGCGTGATCTCCTATCAGCCTGGCCTTCAGAATTCCTTTTACCGAACCTTGAGTTACACTGTACTAATCTACCATAACGGGTTCGGGCAATTCTGGCCCTCTCTTCTACAAAGACTACAAATTCTTCAAAGCTCGGCTCCTTCCCATGCATCATGATTTTATCGGCGCCTTCCACCCACTTATTCTGCAATTCTAGTGGTAGGCAAGAAACTATTACCTCCAAATTAGCCCTAGAATTAACGTCAGACATATATCCCATTTGCCTCAACGTTATACATACATTACGCAACTTAATCGCAAAGTCAGTTAATACGTCAGCCGATCCTCCGACAGGTTTATGCTTTAATAACTCAATAATTAGTTCTCGTGCAACAAGATGTTCCTTACCAAATAAATCATACAAAATTCGTTTAGCCCTATCATAGCCCAAATCACTGGGCAAAGAAACGCAAGATTCAATTGCTGTTCTGGCCTTTCCCTTGCAATAATATAACAAATACGACAACAATTGGCCCTTATCTGACAATTTACTTTCTATAACGCTATTAAACTGACTAATAAAACGGTAATACTGACCCGGTTGCCCATCAAAGTACATCATATCGATCTTAGGTAATACCATGTTACTAACCATTGTATGTAACGTGTCCTTCAGCTCCCCAACCCAATCGACATTTGAGATGTTACATACCTCCCCTGAGTGATTATTACACCCAGTATCACAATCCAAATAATTTTCCACTTTAGCATTTATCCCACATTTATCTACGGGTAATCGTTCATCGTCCTCGATGGCCTTGCATTCTAGTTCAGCGATATCAACCTCTTCTTGTAGATCTAACATCTTAAGTTGCCGTTCTAATTCAAGTCTCTTCTCTAAATTCCTTTTCCTCAGTAATGCTTTATCTAACTTTAGTCTAGAAGTACTTAGCTGGCTAGAGGACATACTATTAAGACTAACATCATCACATTTATCATCATTAACATCAGACATACCACAAACAGCTTTGGAAGTTTTACCATCCATTTCGTCATTTTCCTTCAGCCTTTTGCTCCGTGTTTCCATCGTTATCGTTGTTCCAAATAATCAATTACCAAACAAATCCGAATTAATCCAAACGAAGTTGACCAATAAGACCAGGAATTTGGACACAAAATATCCAGAAAATCCAAGGTATGAACACAGAACCAAAAATTGAAGAACTTTATGTTACGTGCAAGTTTTGCTCGTTCCAGTTATTGAAGTACGGACTATCGATCTACTCGCAAAATACGAACCCAAATTAACAACAGAACCAAGTCCCAATTTAGATATCAAGTTTATTCGTAATTCACAAGTAATCGACCAAATGTCGTCCTAACAACAATAATTATAACAATTACAAAACAAACCTTCAATTTCGAAGGTTCCCGGAGCAAAACTCCCAAATACCAAACCAAAGACAAAGAGAGCACCAAATACCAAACCAAAGACAAACCAAAATGTCCGAAATAATGATATAAACAAACAAGTTCAAAAGTTAAGTAAAACAATTACATCCAAAAAACACAGTAAATTATTAATGTACAATAAAAGGTTTTAATCCGTCAAAAGTCTTCAGTTCTCCCGTAACACTCCCTATCACTAAAAACTAATAATCCTGTAATTCTGGAGTGATTGTACAGGCAAACAGTTAAAATCCAGGCTTAAATGATGGTCTAAAGTTGATCGGTTCATGATTTCGGTGGTATTCAACAGTCTTTACAACCCGATACTGATAATCATCATGTACTCACTAGTGATTAGCTTCGAGATAAAATTTCAAGACTTCTAGTGAGAGGTTGGAACCAGTGCAGTTCAATCGTGTCAGATGTGAGACAGCTACTCACTCAAGGTTATAGAAGACGTTCGCGCTTCGTTGTGAGCTGATTGAAGTTGTTCATTAAGGTCGTTGGGTTGTGAGTTAGTGATCTTGATGTTAGGCATTCTCTTTCGAGACTGAAGATTATAAGCTCGATTCTGGCGTTCGGGATAGTGAATGTGCACTGCTGTGGAGTTTCATACCAGGTTGAAATGACCGTCAAGTGATTAGAGGTGTTCAATTTTGACCTAACATCGACCGGTTTATGACTTCAACGAAGTTAGAGCTTTTTCAGGCTTTAATATATAATAATGTTGATATACAGGTATACCTTGCTAACGAGTACGAAGTAGCACAAAACCTAGGTTCAAGGTTCCCTGTGGACTACCTCCAACCACCACCTTAGGTTAAAACCTTTCCATTGTTTACATTTACATGTGAATTCATTAATTGATTAGCTGTTTTGATCCAGTGTGAAATTCATTACTAGGACTTACTTATCACTCTACTAGGGTTTGGACTGATGATTTTTAGACTAAAAATAACTGAGTTGGCTTCAAATTGTTTATGGATAATTTCTTATTTATTACCGATCGATAGTAGATGTTAACTTCAAGTTTAGCTAATGTTCACAAACGTTTTGTTCAATTCTATAGATTATGAGTTTGATCTTTAGTTAAGTTGACAAGATCCAAGGTACACTGAAGTACATATCTACTACTCTTTAATTCAATTATACAAACAAAATTAACTTTAAAACATTATAAATAATAGATTATATCAAGTATTGAATTAGTTGATGTTAGATGTTGACAGAGTTTTATGCCAGATCATTAGTCTAGAGGCTAAGCGTTCACGCGCCAGATTTAAGACCCGTGTTCGAATCCTGCTAGCGGGATCGTGGATAAACATTGCTGAGGAGTTCCAAATGGGACGAAACAGCCGTTCAATGCTTCCAGGTTTTCAATGGTCGTCTATCATCAGTCAGTTGATGATCCCAATCAAAAACTTAATTTATTGTCATGAAGATAAGATTCTTCATGAAACATCTTCATTAGTTTTATTGACAATTAATGACATTCAAAGATACAGCGAAGCATGAATTCAGCTCCATAATGATTATCATTGATTTCTTGTTGGTTTATCTATTTGTATTTCGTCTTCTCTACTTCGATCAAGCAGGCATTCGTGTTTCACTTCTCTACTTTATTTGGGACCACAATGTGTCTGGTAACTAAAAGATATGGTTGGACGAATTTAGAAGATAACATCGGTCGACAGGAACACATTATTCTCGATGAACAGTCGTTACTTGGCTTGATCACATCATGTACTTCTAACGTCCTCATAAATCCATTCGGGTTACTTACTTGAATATTGCATATGATCATCGCATCTACTTCTATTCTACTCATCTAATTTGCGTTGTCTCACAAGAAATATTCTTCTAAAAAAACACAGAAATAGTAGTGCAAAGCATCTGAATATTTCTGATGACCTCAGTTGTTTGTAGAAATTTCAATGATTATACTTTCTCTTCATCTATCACCTCATTATATTTAATTATTCAAATAATATAATATTGTCTATTGTGTCGTGGGCGTGATATGAAACTTTGTTAGAATAATGAATACCGCTTTCTAATTATGTGTTTATGTGACTGACAGTCATCTACTCACACAGAACAGAGATGAACGGAAGTCTCATTTTACAAAACATTCCTGCTTTTATGAAAAGCAAGTAAATTGAAAACAAATATTTTGGCAGTCAATTCATAGTCAGTCTTGCTTCAGCTATGAATAAACACTGTAACCATTTACTATCTAAATTGAAGTGATTTAATATTCGTTCTTTGCTGGAACCACTTTGTTTTCACGTCCTCACTTTCTGAACCAATGGAACGTTCATTAGTAACCACGTTTCTATTCTATTAAGACAGTCTATAACATGCTGTCTCGGACTTTAAATTATGACTGTATGGCAGGCATTGGGTGGTAAAGAGAATGGAAAACATCATACAATAAAGGATACAATTATTAGTTTTATTAACACTTTACTATCTATATGCACTATCTGTTCTGATAAACCAGCCTTCCTCATTCCAACCTTGACTTCCATAGCTTCATTTGAACTCACTCTACCTTGAACAGTATCACTACTCATTGTTCTTTATTACTGCATACTCTCATCTGGAGCCACTGATCACATTTCAATGTGACAACAAGAGCTAGTATGAATTGGATCCAATAATTAATCATTCCTATGTACGCGGTTTTCCAACGTCATGGTTCACACCAAGCGCTCTACAAGTCTAATTTTTAACAACTACGAACTTAAGAAGTTGCGCTGCATAAATGGTTAGCGCGACCAACATCCTAACACAATTATGCCGAGATTGGATCTGGTGTGTAATGTGGACGCCATGCCACTTTGGAAAATATTTTCAAGACTACTCAGAACATCTAAAGAAATGAAGTGATCTTCACTTTTCTAGATTATATTTATTTAACAACCCTGCTTGAGATGCGTACTGTGAAACAATGAATGTTGTAATGTGTATATCATGCCAGTAATAATGGCGTGTACCTGCCATAGCAGAAAAATATATTGCTATTATTATCATCATTAGTGAATGAATGAATTAATTAATTAGTAGCATTAGAAGAATGTATATACAATTAACCTACTATGTTTACACAATCAAATGTCTGTGCCATGATGAGATCAGAGCTGGGACATCTGTCAGATCTTTATTCAGCTTCGCTGAAATTTTACTTTACCATTACCAAAATAACAAAGCGATTGAACTTCCTCTAGCAAATTGTATTACTCTTGGGCTTTTCACATTTAAACAGGCAATCAATCATTTTTTGTGCATGTCTAATCTCACCGTTGTTTGTTTCATTGAAGTTCTCTTTTCAAATTTACGGTTATTCTAATGCTGAGCCTTGCTGCTCTAACGTCTAGTCAAAATAACCGTTTCGCATCTCATCTGTTCAAATGACTTATTAGTTATGACTTCTGAAAATCTACATAACACTTGAATCAGTATTATCAACATTACTGTTGTCACCATTATTATGATTACTTGACAGTCGTGTCTGCAATTACAGTTAATTGCATCGTTTAGTCAATCCTATGATTAACAAATTGAACTTGTTCACTGCGATTGATTGTCTACTGCATGTTCTGTCTTAATATAGAAGCAAACGTGCATGGTTTTGTGGAGAAATTACAATTGATAAATCACTGAATGTTAGCCAATTTTTTATTTGTCTTATCTTTTAGTATTGATCAGATTTCAACGATGAATGAATTGTAAACATGTGAAAAGTACCAGAGACCAGTTATGCGTCCAAATAGCTGGATGACTAACTGTCAGACTGTTTATTTGAATAGCACGAGTTTGAATCTGTTTGAGAGCGTTAGACATTCACCACAATTTCAGATCGATTCAATATGTGATATGCATATTTGTCTGGAACTCATAATCCTTCCGTATTTCTTTGCATTGTTGTATGGCAAACATTTTAGTGTAGGTAATAATTACATTATCCACAAACCCCTACACTGTCATATCGTATGGCTTGAGCTCTTGACATACATACTCGCGCGCCGTTGATTATCATCAAATAATTGAGCCAATATCTTATAGTGATAATGTCTGACTTCAATCAATCTACGAAATTTCGCGACTATCCTCCATTGCCTTAGGTGAGTAACTGGCCCATTCCTGACACACATCTTCTACAATGATCACGGCATCCCAATCGAACTCAGAAAATTATCTCCTACTTTGATTGACTCTTCAAAAATAAAACTCGACAAACTACGCAATCATATACTAACTATTATGATTACATCTTCCGATACCATCATTAGATTTATTATCACTGTTGCTATTTATACAAATTCTACCATTCGTGCCATAAATAAACCGCTTACCAGTAATGATCATAATACAAAGATACAATTATTCATAATAATAATACCACTGACATTATTGCCGCTTCCATTATTAATACTATGTTTATCATTATTATTATTACCACAGTGAACGAATACATGGTGTGGCCAACCAATTTAATCGTAAATGCGAAATCACAGTGTTTTCGTAAAATATGAACACCGTACATTAAATACTTCATTCGTACATCTTCCGTCAGTTGTCCCCCAGAAATTTCATCGTTCCTTAGTTCTTTTTGTTACAATCACTCTTTATTAT